GTTGGGGCATAGAATAGTGGACAGCCTAACCAGGGCCAGGTCATCTGGCTATCACTTTGGTGTACCTGCTGCTAAGGTACATAAAGGGGTGTCCCATTTGAGCATGTTTTCTAAAACACATGAAAGTATTTGACATATTCAAATTGTTATCTTTGTGTTGAAACCAATCCACTTGATCTCTTTGACCAAGCTACATTTTTGCCCCAACTTCATGTTAATATGAAACACTTTCCCTCAACTTTAAAATGTCTAACTGATCAGGAGAGATTATTTTGCAAACTTATTTCCCTGCTAGTTAAAATAGCAAGGCACAGCGGGAATGCTTTACGTTGTAAATAGGGAGAAAGTAATCCCACCCTTGTTCTGTAAAACTCTACCCTTTGTTGAGTTTATGAAACTGACTTTGACATATGAATATAGCAATACTCACCAGTCTTACCATTAAATCAGAAAGCAGTTTTCTTACTATGTTCATAATGAATTATTATTTACTCTGATTAAAGTTATTCATAGAATTTAAGATTCCTACAGCATGTTCTTTGCCAAACTATACATTTTCATTATACATAATGAAAAACAAATACATTTGTTTTAAGTAATTCTACTCCTATTGGGCCATATGAATGCATTTTGTTTGAAAGTTCTTCAGATATTATTAACCACTATCAAATAGCAAATCAGGTATACCTTTCTGGCAAAATTATGTCATGTGCAAATAGGACTATGGAGCCCTACATCTGGGTCTTAAAGTTATGGAATAGAGGCATGGAAAGAATTGAAAACTGGGAGATAACCTGTTGTAATGACCTTCTGTGCCTCTTACATTTTTATCATACTCACTACATTTTAAGAAAAAAATTATATAACGTTCTCTTGTATGATCAGAATAATTTACATTATAGAAGTTACATGTGCTGTTAATATATGTATGTGAGATTAGAAATCTTTTATTTTAAAAATGATTCTAAACTGATCCATTTCATCATTACATCAAAATATATTACTCTACCTTTTGTTAGAAATATAACAAGAATTTGGACTCATTAAAATGAATTTTGTAAAAACTTACACTTTCTAGAAAGCTGGTAAATCTTGGTATTAGTAACTTGAGTCGAACTGGCTTTACATAAAATAGTTGTAACTGTTTTCAGGAAAATAAACAGATAAAACGGTTGTTCTAATAATGTAACAAAACTCTCACTAACATTTGTACCTTTTTAATTGTCTGTGTTTATTTATATGACTATTTTAAAGCATGGTGTTTGTGTAACGTCTTTACTTAAGTTCATTGCTTTGAATTTTGCCATTTCATTGTTTTCTTTTTCCCCCCTTCTCTCTTATTTTCCATCATCCTGGGGAACATTAATGTCTGCTCTATCACATCTTTGTTGTGTATATTATTCCTTCTTCAGTAACCCTGGCACTGTGTAAGTACTTAACTAAGGGTTTATTTTGTAATTTTTTGACTCTGTAACTATTCATCTTGCTTTCAACTTACCACCACCAGCAAATCTTGTTAGTATCATTTCATTTTCAAAAATGTTGAGGAGCATGAGAAACATTTTTCATGCTAGAGAACTTCATATGACTCAGTGGGTGTGTTTGGAATGGCATACACTTCTGCAGTGGAAAGACAGTAAGCTGACTTCAGGGAGATAGGCAAGAATTACAGATTTTGCATGTTGGAGTTAAAGATATACTTTGGGCCTCCCTTTTTAAATTTTTTAAAAATTAGTATCCTTTTCAACTATTTGTATTTTTATACACAGATCTTTTACTTGAAATTAGCACTATTAAATAGTAAATTACACTTCTAATTATAGAGAAATAGAAAACTATAATATGTTTAGTACCTGAATATAAATTTTTTCAAATACTTTCAGATGATAATTTTTTCTCTTTTGCCAAAAAGATGTTTATGAAATAATCTCAGTGTATTGCCTAGTTTTTAAAAAATTGTCTATTTTAAAAAGAACTAGTTTTAAGTATTAGTAAAGGCCTTTTAAATAACATTACTATAAATTATATATTACTATGCATCTATGCATAGTATTTTATGCACTTTATGCATTTATGTTGTTGATTCTGTTTTTTTTAATATGTCAATAACCCATAGTTTTTTAAGATGGAATTGCAGTTGTTTTTCTAGTTACCGTAAAAGAACAAATTATAAGTTAGGATTTGTGGAGAACACTTCACATACATTATCTATTTTATTTATTCTGGAGGACAACCTTTAAGATCCATTTTCATTACTCAAATGGGAAACTGAAGCTTAGAGAAGCAGTTTGCATTAAATATACATTGAGTGGAAGATGTAGTGTTGGAAACTGACTGACTCCAAACCCAGTGTTATTAACTTTAATTCTATCATGTTCTGCATTGGGAAAAATCTTTAGTATACAGAGACAGTTTTTTTGGTATAACTATTAAAATGGACACAGCCATGTGGCATGCTGATAGTCCTGTGCCTTTTTTTTTAGGAGCAAGCTACATGCTAATGATGGAGTTGTAATTTGTCTGGCTTACTGGTGGGTGGCTCTGAACCACATGCATGACTGTCCTATCAAATGCCATGGAACAGTCCCATTGGGTGGTACAGGCTGCCTTATCAGACAGTTTTGCATGCATCACCAGTGATTCAAGTTGGTACGGAAGTGTTAGGAGTTTTTAACAATCACATCTGACCACATTTACAGAACCTCTCCTGCTCAGATCTTATGGTAGTTTGCAAGTCACTTTCCTTTTTCTCTTCTGAAATTAAACTCATGGCTATTCTCCAACACTTTGCATTTGTCTTATTTTGAGGAGAAAGGAGAGGAGAATATTTATTATGTTCAATAGATCTGTAAGGTGTTAAAACATATGTATTAAAATTATATTTCATTAATAATCTTTTTATTAAATGTTTAAATGATTTTTAACAAAGGCTAAGTTCTTGAACTCTGTAGTATACACATTTCTATGACATCTAATTTTGGCATTTAATTCTTAGAAGACCACACTTTTTGTGTGATATTCTTGCTTTATAAATGGAAAAAACTAAGGCTCAGTGTAATTGACGTCCAAAATCACACATCAAAAAAGCAATAGAGTCAAGATTTCAGTCTTACTCTTCTGATAAATACATCAGGGTTTCTTAATATCCCACAAGTCTTCACTTGCTGATTCTGTATAACATCTCTACTTAGGATAAGGTTATCTGTGCACATGAGTAAGAAAAATGTTGATAACAAGAATTATGACTCTTTTCAAAATTGTGTTTGGAGTTACCACTTTGGCATGTAACCAAACCATTCTTGGTTCTTGGGTCTAGAAAGCAATACAGTTACTTAATTTTGTGAAAGCCAGTACATTCTAATAGCTTACTGGTAATTGTGGTTAAATCATAGTTCATATCTTTATTTTATGTGATATTGATAAGGGATATAAGTAACTTGAAATTGTTTTATTTTACTACTATAGATTTTTCACTTTTCAGTTTTGATTTTTCTTATTCTTTTCCTTTCCTTTTCTTCATGTTGGAAATCTTCTTTGTGCTGCCTTCTTCTTTCAATTAAAAGGAAATTTCCACCTAAACGGTAATCTTCCTATCGAGTGCATTCTTATAACAATAGTTTGTATTAACATTATAAATGTATTTTTTACTAAATTAAAAAAACTTAATCTATTTTAGAAAGGTGTTTTTAAAATGAAAATGAGGCTGCATATGCAAGCTATTTCCATAAAATTCTACATTTGAGGCTTAAATGTATAAAATACAAAATAATTCACTAGAGAATGTTTTATCCTTTTAATAAAATTAAAGATCTTTTAAGCCTTTTTTCTTTCTTCTTGTCCCTAGCCCTCCAAGAAAACACATTGTGGAGCGTAATACAGAGTTTTATCACATACCCACTCACAGCGATGCCAGCAAGAAGAGACTGATGGAGGATACCGAAGACTGGCGTCCACGGACTGGAACAACTCAATCTCGCTCTTTCCGCATCCTTGCCCAGATCACTGGGACTGAACATTGTGAGTGAATTTCTAGGGATCCTAATGGATGAGTGAGTGTTCTGTGCCCTAAACAGTAGCACTTAGATACATGAGCAGTTATTGCAAAACAAGCCTAGAGCAGTGAACTTTTAAATTAGGCTCTGCATAACATGGACACTCTAAAGAAATCAGTCCATGAGAATTATACTGGGTAGGGGAAGCGTGCTGACTGGTGTACAGCCAAAACCTTGTTGCATGGAATTTTTCTTAGTAACTCGATGAGCCTTGAACATTCGATACTGATTAATGCATGTAATTGATAAAATGATTTTGAAGTTAAAAAATAAATTAATGCAGGATATTATTGTATTCCAGTGCAAGAATCTGAAACTGACAATACAAAGAAGGCAAAGTAAGTTTTATTTTTTTGTAAATTGAATGTTTTCCTTTCACAAATGGTCTCAGTTTGGTTTGTCAAATTTTCAAGTATAATAATTGGGCATTTGATCTTTGCAAGTAGAAGCTAGGCATTTAACCTTGGTGCCATTAGTATAACCTAAATGTACAAGTTCCAATTTTTAAGTTAGTAAATCTTGTCTACATTTTGTGTCTGTTTTATCTTCCTTAGTACTGAAATAAGAAGTGGGCAGAGGGCCTGGGTGCTTTGCTAACAGTAAATCTCTCTGAATGAGCTATGTTGTCTTTCAGTCACTTTATTTGGGATATAAAATGGTTGCTTCCCAAGGACTCTTTAGATTAATTTCTGTATTTCTAAAACTGTTCTATCTTTAAACACTTGCTATTTAACAAAACAACTACATGAAATTAAGCTTTTATAAGGCATGTTTTCTGCATGGTGGAGTTGGTATATAGTCCTTTCTCTTTCTTATGACTCTTCTGTCACTCTTTTTTTTTTATTTCCACAGGGAAAAGATACCCCTTCACGTCTTTAGTCCCAAATACACAAAATTACGTGACTGGCACCATGAAGTTTCAGCTCGTGCTCTTAATGTACAGTGATTTATGAGCCTTGCCCCCAAGCAGCCAGCACACACCTTTTCATTCACTTTTTCTTTTTCAACTTCATAGCAAGATCTGTGTTTATTTGCCTTCTGGAAAAATAGAACCTTTTCTATTCTATACTTTTCTAGCAATTTCCTGTTGTGAAACTGAGGATGATAAACATGTGCTTGTTGGTAACTCACAAATATAAAACTAAAGAAAAAAAAATGAAAGGATTAGACATAATCAGTGGATTTTACACATTTCCATTGTTATGATAACACTGGAAAAGGAATTTTTGTAAGTTGAATGTGTTTGGTTGAAGCAAAGGTAGATGAACAGATATCTTTGTCTAATTTGGAAAATATGTCCTTTATGTTATTACATATCCCAAGATCATTTTTAAGTTCATTACTATGGATAGTTTGGAATTGATTATAAATTATTTATGTAAACAAATGCAAGGAGACAAGCATAAAGAGATTTTTCTACTTAGTGAAACTCATTGTGGGTTTAGGTAGCCTTTAAAACAGGTTCTATTCAAGATGGCTTCTTCAATGTGAAGAAGAGGCCCCTAAAAGAAAGAAGAGAACTCTGCTATTTGCAATGAGAATATAACAATATTCTTTTGGTTTGGTTAGATTCAAAATCCTGTTTTCTACTAAGAAACCTATACATAAGCTATTGAATTTTTTTATGGTATAGTGAATTTTCAGATGTTAACTAGTAAGGTAAGGAAAGATAGCTGTGCTTGGTTTTTAAGTTAGAGGAAAATAACATAAAATAAATTATAATATGAATGATTCTGAGTTACCAGAGAAATACTTTACTTAGTGTTATAAAGTACTATGTGTTGCTGCTATCTCTAGGAAGCTGTTTTTTGGCAATATGTGGAAGCTAAATACCTGACCAGAAGTGCTTTCTTCCTTGTAATATAATGTATTATATATTAGATCTAAATTCAGTAATGAATGCGTTTTGAATTTGGAAAAGTATTGTAATAAAGTTGCCTTTAACTTAGCTTTATACTTGTTCTGTTTCCTTGAGGCTATTAACTGTATCGTCCAGGATTTGTTACAGTAGCAGGTAAAATAATTATCATGGCATTTCACTTGGACAAGATTTTTAGTTTGATGGCTTCACTGAAGTGTATGTATAAAACATGACAAAGGCCTTTGTTTGTTTTGTTCTTCTCCTGAACTGTTAACATTATTTAAGGTAACAACCTTAAATGTGTGCTTAGAATATAAGATCCAGCTAGACTGTGGTGCAGCATGAAAGTGTTCTTCATGTGAAAATGATTACTGAAGTTTCTTACCTGTGTTCAAGGATTTATTTTTATTTTTCTAGGCATTCTATACTTTAATGCTACCATAGACTGGAACTGTCTGATAACTTGGAGAAACTAATATTCATTTCAGTTGTGAATTCACTGCTATTTAAAAATTGACCTGCCAAATGCATTTAAAAATAATTCTAAAATTTACTGTACTTCATGATATATAAATGTCTCTTTTTGTTGTTGTTGTGCCAGACATTCAGATGCAAAGAGATCTTGCCTGCTGTTGCTTTTATGATCCTGACACCAGTCCCAGTTATTACTGTGTCTCTGGCCTCTGTAAGAAAATCTCCTTTTTAGACCAGGATTTCAAAGTCCTAATAATTCTTTCTTGATCACAAAAGATAATATCTGAAAGAAAATCAAATTAAAGTCACACAAGAATACATGATGTGGGAGAGTAAGCATAGTATTTTCCGTCAAGAATGAAGTTTCTAAAATAACTGCAGAACTGAAAGAACTAGAGTCTTAGATAAACAAAAGCATTTTCCTTACTACAGAGAAGAGAATGTGTACAACTTTGTATATTGAAATAAGTCCAGTTGAAAATAAGACTTTGATACTTTTCATAATTAAAGTATTTAATGTGTTGTGGAAAGTGTGGACTTGAAATGATCCATATTTGAGGGTAAGGATAAGGGTAACTGTTCAGCCAGGATCATGAAGGACATTCATTCCTTTTGATCCTGCCAGAAGTTAAATTCCTGAATTCAGTGAAGCTTTCAAGATATCTTACATTTCTATCTAAAAGCTAGCCAAAAATTGTATAAACTTCATGCAGAGATATTATTTTTAGGCCTAATGATTTAATTTATGGCTTATTTTTGTTTGTCTCTCTTATTCAGACCTTATTGTAGGCTTATTATATGAAATCAGGGAGTTGCCCTTAAGAAATTTTAACTTTTCTTGGGTAATGTTTTACCAGTCAAAAGATAGAATGTGTTTCACACACAGTTAAATATATTTTTGTTACTTCAAAAACCATGTTATTGGTGTAAACAGAAACATACTTATTTTGTATATCATTATGCTATTTAATAAGGTTCAGATATATAGACAGCTTATTTAATAAGTTATATTAGGATACAGACATGCAACCTCTTCTGTTATTCAAAATCATTCAGAAAATAAAGAATAAATGGCTTTATCCATACAAATAATTTTTCAATTGCTTTGTTTTTGATTTTTATTCAAAATCATATGAATCGTTAAATGTCTACTCTTTGTCTATGTTCATTCTTTAAGTAATTGCTGAATACTCAAATGTCAGGTGCTAATCCATGTGCTAAGAATGCAGCAGTGGATAACAGACAAATATATAAACAAGATGATCTGAGGTAGTTTCCTTACCAAAGTAAAAAAGTAAGTTAATGTGAGAGAAATGTGGTTTATCAGACAGGATTAGTTTAGATTATGTGGGCTTGTGAAGAGATGAACAGAAGTCAGCTGTGTGCTGATGAGGGCAGTGTGTGAGCAGAGGAAGCAGGTGTGGAGTGAGCATGGCCAGGGCTTGGCTCAGCCGTATGCCTGAGTGTGTAGGAGAGGAAGCATGAAATAAGCTCGAGATCCTTAAGCAAGCAGGAAAAGAGTTTACGTTCTCATGACTGTCTTCAGCATTCATGGTAGGAAATTATCATATCTAACCACTTTCAAGTAAAGTAGAAAATGAAGCACTAGAGGGGTTTGCCAACTTTCTAAATAAAGTGCATACCTCTTATGCCAGCCTTGATTATGATCCATTCAGGGTTGGAAAATTTGAATTGAGAAGGCCCAGAAAATGGAGGCATAAATATTACTATGTTTTTAATACATGTAGGGAACACAAACAGAAACACTGTAGAGCACATATGATATCATGCAAAAAGGAAATTTGGATGTCTGAAAATTTCCTAACATGCACTATTTGTGATGAAATTTATTCCATTCTAGGAATTTTTTTAACCAAGTAAATTAACTTGATCATTCTTTCCTGAGTTTCTGCTTGTTTAAAATGTGAATTTAAATCTGTGGTAGACACTGTGATACCCACCCAGCCATCTTGGAGAAGACATGATACCACCTCTGCTAGTAATGTGGTGGGCAGTCAGCCTTCCTGGAACCCTCTGCTGCCCGTGTTCACGTGTTGGTTTGCTTTTGGGTGGGGCTGGGGAAGTGGAAAATGTGGCTCTTGTAACCCAACGAGGCACCCTTGGAATGGCTGTTCTGGCTCCAGAGCTGCCCTGGATTTGGCTGAGGCTGCCTAAGTCCTGAATGGCAGACAGCTTAGGGTCTGCCCAGTTCTGCTCTCTTTCAAATCTATTAATCCTAGAAGCACTTCTTTTTTTAAAATTCTTTTAATTTTAAATTTTATTTTATATTTGAGACAGAGTTTTGCTATGTAGTGCAGGTTGGCCTGAAGGTGCTCCTCCTGCCTCAGCCTCCCAAGTGTTGGGATCACACGTGTGCATTGCCACGGCTGGCCTAGAAGTACTTTTTTTTTTTTTTTTTTTTTCCTTTTTATCGGTACCAGGGATTGAACTCACGACTGTTTTTTTTTCCTTTTTATCGGTACCAGGGATTGAACTCACGACTGCCTGCTTGTAAGGCAGGCGCTTATGCTGCTGAGCTAAATCCCCAGCCCCTAGAAGTACTTCTTGATAAGCAGCCTCCATGCTAAATTCTGTCTTGGGGTCTGTTTTCTAGAGAACCTGACACATAACAAAATCACCGTGGTTTATGTCCCAATTTAGACACAGCTGCACAGGTTCTCCTCACCGTGGTCCTTTATTTGTCTCATCATTTTTCCTTTCTTTACTGTTTCCCGTCCCTTCTCCTGAAATCTTTAACCTTGATTGTAAGCACACCATGTAGGGAAGTCTAAAGCAAATGATAGGCAAAGGATACAGGAAAGCAAACCTGCATTTACTTATCTTTGTCCCAAGTGAAGAGGATTTGTTGAGGAGAAATGGGTAGGGAAAAGGTATTTAGAAATCAAATATAGTGAGAGCTGTAGTATGAAACAATGAAATGAGAAGCTCAAAATGAGACTAGGACTGAGGAAGTATAATAATAAACACAGAAATAAAGCAGTACTCAAAATGATATTATCATTTGCATGTTATCATTTCCATATGCAGTATTCCCGATATATACTAGCTGTTTAATATGTCACTTTAAATAAGTTTTCTCTTAACACATCTGCTGTTTTCCTCACACCCTTAAGTTTTCCTCCTGAACAGGCATGGTGGATTACCATAGTAATTCCAGAAATCTGAGAGGCTGAGGCAGGAGGATTGCAAGTATAAGCCCAGTCTAAGTACCTGGTAACTCAGAAAACGCCTGTCTCAAAGTAAAAAAATAAGATTTGAGGCTGGCTGAGGATATAGCTCAATGTGAAAGTCATAAGTTCAAATCCAGTACTTAAAAAAAAATCCTCAGTCCTCTGCCAGAGGAGATGCTGCTGCTGTGGGTGTTGAGAAATGTGTCAGGCAATGATGCAGTCATGCAAGACAGGGTGCTGCTGTGGGGCTGAGAATCCTAAATGTCTTCAATTCAGAGTTCATCCTACGGATGAAGAACCCCCAATCCAAAATGTCTGTGGTGTGCTACTGAGAGTGACTGGGCTGAGTGCATGCACCTTTCTTTCAAAGGATTTTATTCCTCCTCCTAACTCCAGGTGCACATTCTTATTAACAGCATACTCTGTTCACCCCACCAGCTGCTCACAGTGAAAGTAATCATTTCCCTTTAGAACTAACAGACCACCAAACAAATTCCTCTTGTGGTGTCTCCTTTTGTGATTTGTATTATGAATATTGGTCTATGTGTCAGTAGAAGGAACTCCGTAAAGGAAGAAAAGACACAGTACTGTATTTTTCCTGGGTGACCCTGTAGCTGTGTAAGTAAAGGCTTGTGTGTTGCATGACTCATCTTGAAGGTGAGTGTTACAATTGAACAACTCACCTCTGTTAATCTGCTTGTTAACCTAGGAAAGTACTATACAAGGCAGCTGTACCAACAAGATATACAGAGGAATGACTTAAACAATGGACATTTATTTTCCTCCTAGTTCTGGAGACAAGTCCTAGATCAAGATGCCAGCACTGTTTTCTGACCAAGTCTCTGTTCCTGGCTTGCAGTGGCTCACTCTGCGAGCTCACAGGAAAGGGTAGTGTAAGACAGGTCACTGAAAAGGATACACTCAGCATCTTAATCTTTATTTTCCTTTTCCTCTCATAAGGATGCTAATATACTGAATTGGGTCATTCTGACCTTTATGACCTCTTTTCACCTTTATTACCACTTCAAAGGTCCTGTGTCCAAATTCAGTGCACTGGGAACTAGGACTTCAGTATATGAATGGGGGGCACATTCAGTCCATAATGTACATTGCCTGCCGTCTGTACTTGCACTAATTTGACAGATTAGCACTTAAGAAAATCATTCTTAAGTAGAACCACCACATTGGTCCCAACTGAAGGATTGCTGTTAACTCTGTTATGATGCTTCCCTTTCCACTTTGGATATTTGTCTGTGTTTTATGAAAGCATTTTAGCCTCTCTTGCCATATTTGGTACATTATTTATTGTATATAGTTGCCTTTTTTTTTTTCAGTTCCCTAAATGCTGACTTTTAGGATAGTTGACAATAGCTTGGTATATAATATTCCAGTTACAGAAAATATTAAGAGTATTAATAGTGACTGTAAAGTAGAACCATCCATACATTGCTTGAAAGGAGAATTACTATACTTTGAGTAATCTAGTTACCCAAAGTTAACACTTTTCCCTGTTACTTTTTATTAAGTAGTTTGGAAGAGTTTTTTTCATTAAATGATCATTTGTTTCTGAATGTTACTTCCTTTGTGTTTTTGGAGTGTTTAGCATGAATGGCAAGGTGACTCCTGGGAAGAGAAAATAACTAATCTTAGAAATAGGTATATAAAATGCTTAATGCACTACTCTGAAAAACCAAATTATATCACTACTAAGGAAATATTTAAAGTTTCAAAATATACTGTAGTGATTTTAGAAAAACAAGACTGGGAATGTAGCTCAGTGGTAGAGTGTGTGCTTAGCATGTTCCAGGCTCTGTTAGATCCCGAGCACATAAATGTAAATTAAGTAAACAAAGTAGGCAAACCATATTATTAGTAACATTTTTAATAGAAATAATAATATGTAGCCCACCAGCATAGGGAATTGTGACAGGCCATAGAAAATTTCACTTAAAAATAATTATCTCAGCAAATATGTACTTAAAATATATTACTTTGCCAAACATAGTACAATTTATTTATTTGCTTATAGTACTGGGATTGAATCCAGGACCTTTGTACTAAGCTGTAGCTCCCAATCCTTTTTAAATTTTTTTTTCTACTACTACATGTCTTGTAAAAATTTCACGTATTATGGAAAATTGGTACATGTACATAACATATCTCAATTTTTTTTAACTTCTCCATTCTCTCTCCTCCCATTCTCTCATAAAATTATTTTGAGATAAGGCCTTTCTAAATTGCTAGGTTGGCCAGGTGGTTCTCTTGCTCAGCCTCTTAGAGTGCTGGAATTACAGACATGCTCCACCATGCCTAGCTAAACTTTTAAAATGTTTGTATGGTTTATATAAGTAGGTATAAAGTAGCATTTTAGTTTATGAAAAAATTTCTCTAAAATTAGGATAAAAATACTTTTATCAGTCTTTCATTTTTCTTAAGGAATGATAGATTTTGATTTTCCTTAGATTATGGTTATATATTGTAATACATGATTATGGCTTCCCAGTTTTCAAAGTATGAAGAACAATATTGTACTTAGCAATGGGAGAGTTACTCTTTATTAGCAAAATATTTAAACTTAGGTCAACAGTTATAGTTCGTGAAACAAAAGGTTAGGAGGGAAACTATCCTTTTATAGGCTTCTCTATAGCACTAATGTGTACTTGACTTCTAGTTTATGACGTCAGAATGAAATTTGGCACTAAAAGAATAGATCTTAATTTACTACAGGAACAGGAACTTATCACCTTTGTGCTGACAACTTAAAAAGCAAAATTTACATAAATATTTTTGAGATAAATACTTCTAAAAGTTTTAAAATTTTTTTAGTTTTCAGATCCAATTATCCTAGTATAAAGGAGACTAATGAAGAAACAGTTTGCCAAATGATCCCACTTTGTGATCATTATTGTTTCATACATGAGAGACATACTAGTCTCTTTAACCTTACCTATGTTTTAATATAGTTATTACCCAGAACTACTTTCTTCATAAGCTATGCAGAGAAAGTGATAATTGTACCCCCATGTGACATTCACACATATTTTTATGAGATAAAAATTAAATCATACTTGCCCCAAAAGATAGCACCAGTAACTTCCACAGTGTACTCTTAATTTTTAAAAATTATTTTTTAAAAGCCAAATAGAATCTTTTTAACTAACATCATATATATTTCACAAAAATTGTCAACCAGGAAAAAGATCATGGGTCCAAAAATAGGGGATAGAGTGTCATTTCTGTCCATTGTAAAATATGGAATATTTGTACTTGATCTGATTTCATTTTCTGCTGCTGGATCTTAGTTAAACTGTCGTGTAAACATCGCCATCTATTGAACATAAGGAACGACTACACTTCAGTTCCTTGCTAGACTAGTACTTGAAAATTATAGGCAAGGACATAAGTTTCTATTCTTTGTTTTCAGGTTCAAATTGTTTAACTTTCTATTTAATTCTTGCATTTCTTGTTTGCTTTTATTAAATTAAACTTGAATTATTGCCACTTACAAAAATCTTGACTTTACAGACGTCAGTGTTTATAACATGGAAAACTGATTGTCATAATCCCAAATATGCACCAAATCCCTTAGAAGCAGAATTTTATCAGACAGTAACTTTTTTTTCATGTTGCTGTTTGGAGTCTTTCATTTTTGCCTTTAGAGAAGCATATACAATAAAATTGTTTTAGTGAATTAAACAAGAAAATAGAAATTTATCTGTATTAAAACAGTATTAAACAAAATGCCTAGTTTCATTTCCTAATTTCAAAAGAAATTACAACTTGAGAATAATGAATTTGGCTCATTGATAATAGTTACTTTTCACCATGATGGAAATTTTAATTTTAGTCTTCACACATCTTAGTCACATTGAAGTTTCCAGAGACCAAGTTCTGCTTCTACGTTTATCTGATGGTTTGCTCATTATATAACTTTTATAAAAGAAATTGAACTAATGTATTACATGATATAATGTAAAGCAATTGACCGGTACAGATACGAACATTAATTTTCCTTTTCTTAAAGATCTATGTTACATTTATCTTAAAATCGGGCTCAGTTATTCCATGTAGGTATTCTTTCATATTTTTCTATTATTTTATATCTATTAAAAGTTACTTGTTGAGTGCTGCTTCTGTGTCTGACTTTATGATAGGTGTTCATCTTGCAAATGCACCTAACTGCTCCTAAAGAATCTAAATTTACCTTCTTAATCAAAAAGTGTGGTAAAGCCTAGCATAAAATCTGGAGTTAGGGCTACATACTTACTCTTCTTGTATATTTTATTTTTGTATTCTAGTAATTCATAAGAAAAAATTTAGAGATTTCTGAAAGATTATAATGGCTTTATATAGCTTTATATCATTGGTTAGGCAAAGAGTGAATTTGAGGTTTCAATACAGAGAAGTAACACTTTTTAAACAAACAATGGAATCATCTATTCTCAGGTTGTATCAGTGGAGTCAAATATCTTTTGTGTGAATCAGTGATTCATTTAATAGGGCTGTTGCATCCACATTAGTTGATGTTCAGAAAGTATACATCTACCACTTCTTCCCTCTCAAAAAAATCCTTCTAATATTTGACTAAAACAACAAACCTTAATTTAAGAGATTAAAAAAAGCGAAAAGCAGAAATGGCATCGTGATTGTGCTCATTTTTGAAAGACTTTGTTAGCAAACAACCCAAGCATAGAGACAAATACTGGAAAAGTTTTAGTTGCTATAATCCTGGAGGGAATTATATAAGATAACAAGTGATTTTTTTAATTAAGTTTTTAGGTATACATAATGATGACATTCATTATAGAGAATTTGTAGCTCTGCATGGTATAACTTGATTGATTTTTCCCCATTCCCCTCCCTCCCTCCCATTCCCCATCCTCTCCTTATTTTCAAAAGCATTGTTGCCATTCTAAGTGGTTCTCTCTGGTCTTCTTTTCTTCACTGGTTTACAGCCCAGAATACACAGAAGACTTACAGATGAGATTTGCTAAGTAACACTGTCTGCACTTTTTAAATCCTGGAGAATGGGAAACAGAAGAGTTGGAAGACACAAACATACTGCTTTTCACAAAAGCAAAAAATAAACTTGTAAATCATAAACTAATTTGAATTTGAGGCCACTTGGAAAAAATTAGAAAGCATTCTTAAAAGCAGAGGGGAGTCTATTGAAAGGAAAAAGACAAAATTGCCAAGATCCAGAATAAGTTCTCAGAGGTAGATCACAACCAACTTAACAGATTTTGGATGATTGAGGGAAATACTAATTTTAACAAATCATCAAAGAAAAGCTCTTGAGATCTTTTTGAATTGAATAATGAAATGAGGTGGATTTGTAACAGGTTGAGGAATTTAGCTAAAAGATTCTGTTTAAAGAATCAATGGTGCTTGAAGACTTTTACAACTTTCTGGCTATATTTATAGGAAATACAAAGCAGGAAGCTATAGCATACACATTCTCTAACCAGATCATTCTTCAAAAGTGTATTAATAATGTAAGAAAGTGGACAAAATTTAGTTAAAAAAAATGAACAATGCAGTGTAATTATGTGCAGTTTGAATGAAAACATTTCGCTCCCATGCAACACCTGGATCAGGGAGGATAAGGCATGTGGGCACCAGTTTATATAGGTGAGTCAGAGTGCTGTCATGGATTATAGGAATAGATGTACAGTGAAAAGGGAAATGCAGTTTCAGATTATGATTCATTCTATAAAGAAGTACAGTGATACGATTATAATGAAGGGATATAAAAGTAAGATCATTGGATGCTAGTTACAGAAGAGGAAGGTATTTACGCTAAAACAGGAATGATCTGGACAAGTCAGTCATGCAGATATGGAGGAGCCACTCTGTAGGCCCAGAAAACAGCACAGTTTCTAAGATGGCCATCAGCTCAGGGAGTTTGAGGAACTTAGAGAGGGGGGACTATGAATGAAGTGTGATAAATGAGTAAAGTAACTGAGGACCAGATCCTTTATTGCCTGGAAGGTTGTGTCATAGAATTTAGATTTTTTTTTCCTAATTAAATGTGAAGCACACTCTAGGATTATAGTTGCAACAGTGACATGTGATATATGTTTCTAAAAGATCACTCTGAATGTTATGGAAAACTAATTGTAAAGGGGGAATAATGGAAGCAGAAGACTGTTCTGAGTAAGTATTCCCATAGTTCAGGTAAGAGAAGACAGTGTCTTAAGCCAGTGGAAATGAAGAGAATTGAATGGATTTATATTTTAGAGGGAGAGATGGCAGGGTTGTAGAAATAGATTGGAGAATGGAAAAATGATAAGTCATTGAATTTGGTAGAATTCAGTTGGTAAGGATTAGTTCAGTTGAATAGAGCTAATAGAATCAATAGAGAGAAAGGAACATGCTTAACATTTAGGTTTTAGATGTATTTTACTTGTTGGAGGAAAAAGCAAAGGTAATTTTAGAGTATATGGCTGAAGTGTTTTTGGTCTAAGGATTAATCTTCACAAAATACATCACTAAAATGAAGAAATCAAAGAATTCACTAACCGAGTTGATTGTTCAGTGACTTAATACAATAGCATTGAAATCATTAAGGAAGATTGTAGAAATGTGTAAGGAGGAAGGCAGAGAGCCAGGACCTGAAGCAGGTGGGGAATGGGGTAGAGGCTAGACAGTGAGGTGGGTCAGTCAGTAGTGAGTGGTGTGGCCAGACGGCCTCTGTGTCTGGGGTTTTGAGGATAGATGATGATTGTTAGAAATAGTGATGAGGACACTCACTCTTCTGTGTCAGATGAGCATTATAAGGCAGGAGAGAAAAAGCCTCTGAAGGGACAGCACAGAAAGCATAAGGATGTAGGAGAACCATAGTTTGTTGGAGCTGAGAGGGACAGGAATCAATTAGTTTAGGAAATGCCCAAAGCAGTGAAGAAATGAGCGTCCAGGAAATGAGGGATTTCTAAAAGGATTTGCACCTGACAATGCAGTAGGTAAGCAGATGCTGAGAATCTTTACGATCTGTTACAAGAAATTGGGCACTTGAATGTAAGCTCTGTGAGGGAAGGAAAATAAAGTGGGCACATTTTATGTGAAGGTACTTGGCACAGAAACAGGAATTCAGGTCATTATTTTCGTTGTTGATTGTTTTTGTTGGTAATTGTCATTTTGTCTAGCTAGAGCTAGAGAGAGTTTCCACTTGACTGTTGCTCTGTGATGCAGTAGAGCACTCTCACTGGAGTTTGCATTGCTGCAATGGCCTTTCCAATGACTTTTGGTTGTGAGAAATTCGGACAGACTCACATTTCCACATAGATGATAGATTGACTCAACACTACCAAATAAATTGTTTATCCTGAGTCAGATACAGATTTTCATAATTCTATTTTAAAAATAAAGAAATAGGAAATTTTTACCCATGCAAAACTGTCTCTATTAAGTCTCTAAACTCATTGGTAGGTAATGACCCAGGGAAGAAACTGACACAGAGGGGCTAAGGTAAGTGTGAGGACCCCCAAGTTAGTGAAGTCAGGCTCCTATCAGGAGACTGTTCTAAATGGTTTTTAAGTTGCTATTATATGTTAAAATCTGCATATTATATTTTTATACATATAAAGTGTTTTCATCTTTGCCAGTTTTGTTTTTAGACCTCATAGAACATTTTCTCCATAGAGATAAAGGAAAATCCTAATTGAGTTCACAAAATATTAAGACTGAACACTTAATAATGGGAAGCTACTTTAGGGAATGACAAGAGACACAGAAAAAAGTTAAGGCAGTGTCTCAAAGGTAAGAGAAAGTAGAGTATATCAGCCAAGAGAAAACTCTTCTCCCAATATAAATATTTGGCCTGCTATAACAAAAGTTATCAAACTGAGTCACTTATAAATATTACACATTTATTTTTCATGGTGTTGGAGGCCAAGCAGTGTAAGATCAAAGCTCTAGTAAAGTCAGTGTCTTATAGGATCTGCTTCCTAGTTCACAGAATGCTATCTTCCTATGTGCTAACCTGGCAGGAGGAACAGGAACTTTCTGCAGTATCTTTTATGAGTGCCAATCTTACCTGGAGAATAAGGTAGTAGAGCACTTGTGAGGCATGCTCAAGGCTCTAGATTCAGTCCTCAGTACTAAAAAACTAAAATGCTAAACAACAATAACACCACCACCAACAAAAACTAATTCCACTCCCATTTCCTATGACCTAGTTGCCTGCTTAGTATCATCAACTTTAGGCTTTCAACAAATGAATTTGGGAGTGAAGCACAAAGTTGAGTATATAGCCACAAATAGTTCCAGTTCCTTCCGCAATATCCCTTTTTGCTTTCCTATCTTTTCCTTGCTTCAGTAAATGTGAAGCTCCTAAAAAAAAGTAATTCTTTGGGCCAGAGATATAGCTCAGTGATAGAGTGTTTATCTACAATGCATGAGGCTGGGTTTCACCCTCAGCACAGGGAGGAAGGGTCCTTTTGCTCTCAAAAAAAAATGAGTCCTTTTTTTGCTCCCAAAAAACATGATTTGGGATAGTATTTTTGTGTTTGTTAATTTACTTCATAACCTTTCAGTTCCTTTTAGTTCCAAACGCATACTCTTCTGTTTGCCACATCCAAAGCACAAAGATGATTAAAATCAGTTAATAAAGTTAGCTGTGATTCAAAGTGCTAGTACTTCACACTTGAGTTTTATTTAACTTTATAGAAGGGAATCGTAATTACAAGTGACCACACATATTTATTGTGAGAAAACCAGTAGAAGATACTCATTTTTCTTGATGACTACCATTTTCTTTGGCTAAAATAAATAACTGTGCTATGTCATTGAACCCCTAAAAGGCAGAATCCAAGCATAACCTTGATATACTTCTAGTTTCTGCTTTAGCAATATTACTACCTGAAAATTTGCTTTATGGAAGAGTGAAAATACGAAGGACATTTTGTTCACTTCCATCTTCACATGGTATAAAATACATATTTTAAGATTTGTGAACTTAGTCTGCTATTGAAAACTTGCAAGTAAAGAAATATGTCACTAATATTTTATCACATTTATATGGAAAAAAGTGGCATTTAATTTTTAACTGGAGACTACAAGTTTCACTGTGTTTTACTTCTCCATATTGGGGATTGAACACAGGGCTTTTGTACTGAATTGTATCCCAACCCTTTATTTTAATTTTAGTTTTGAGACATGGTATCTCTGAGTTTTTTAGGGTAGGCTTGAACTTGAGATCTCCTGTGTCAGCCTCCCAGAACTCTGGGATTACAGATATGCATTACTACACCTGGCTTGGATGTTTTTATGCTGCTGAAGACAGTTTCTATACTCTTTCTCACTTTTTTTTATTTGTTTGTTTTGTTTTGTTTTTGTCTTGTCTTTGAGGCAGGGTTTCATTATTAAAATATAACCTATAAGTTAAATACTGAACTAAAATGTAATCAATAATGTTATAATTAATAATAGCCTAAATTATGGAAGGATTTTGTTCAAGCCATTGGAAAATAATCTATTTTGAGTGGAGCTTCGTTTTAGGAATAAAACGAAAATCAATGTGGGAAGATACTTGAGAAGTGCATCGGGAATGTTAAGGATTTTGGATATTATGCTAAGTTCAGTGAGAGTCCTTTGCAAGGTTAAATGATTACCATAAAATGTTTCATTTTGTTTTGCTTAAGGCACTCTGGCTGTCCTAGGCCATGCCAGACAAAACAGGGATTTACATATGGCAGGATTCAGCAAGAGGGTAATGAAAACACAATTCTCAAATCACTGGTGTTAGACAGTGTTTATAATAATCTAGATGAGAAGGGGAGATGCATTTAACTCAGCAGTATAAGTGCCTTCCTGGCAAGCGCAAGGTCATAAGTTCAATTCCCGGAACCAAAAAAAGAAGGGAAGGTGTAATAGTGGGATACATCCAAGATACAGTTTTGAGGTAAGGTAATTGGGACATGGAGATGGATGGCTTTAGGTGGTGAAGAGTGGTAAAAGATTTTTAAAATCAGGTTTCTAGAAAGAGGAAACACATCAATTGGAAGAACACATTTTGGGAAAGGTCTTAAGAGTTCATTTGAGAAGAGTTAATTCACTTATGCTATGATCCATTTATTAAAATATTCAGAAATCATTCAGAATTTTGGCTGCTGCACATAGAGAGCTGAGCTTGAGTTTTATAAATCTGGGACACTAGTGTGAAGAAGATATTTAAAGCTATGAAGGAGTATTATGTCACTCTACTAGTAATGGTAGGATACTAAGAAATAGGATCTAGATCAGAAAAAGATGTGTGTGGGGCTGTGGTGCAGAAGATAGGAGGAGGGGTAATCATTTGGTTCTGGTGAGACTCAGTGAAATGAGGAATGTGCACAAAACCCTAGACAATCACAGTATGTACCTAAATTAGCTGGTTACCTAAATTAGCTGAGGGAAGAAGAAAAGGAAATTGTTTAATGGGCAGAGTGTTCCAGACTTGCAAGATGAAATGGTTTTGGAGTTCGGTTTCACAATAGCATAAATACGGATATATGTTTAACTAGACAGAACACTTAAAATGACTAAGATAGTTAAATTCTTTGATATGTGGGGTTTTTTTAACTACAGTAAAAAATGATGAATACCCATTTTAAGTCAGACTTATCCAAGGTCACCGGTGACGAAGAAAATACAGTTTTATAAAGTGTTGGAGCTTAAAGCACAGTTGAGATGGTTGAAGTATAACAGGTTGATGATATACTGTTAGTTCAAAATTTGGCTGTAAAAGTAGGAAAATAGAAGGTAAATTTTTTAAAAGAGAATCTATAGCATTTTTAAATGGATACAAAACATCCAATGCAAGAAGGAGAGAGATGTCAGTTGACACTTTCAGGAAAGGGAGGAGCTACAGTATGTGACATACCAATATTATTTGATAACTGTCAGGACTGGGGGGGGGTAGAAAAAAATCCCACTCATTTGGTCCTAGAGGACTGTAGTGATGGTTAGTTATTAAGATGACATCATACCTGATTGCCTGGACAGAGTGTTTATATGGGTCCATGTTAAAAAATGTAGCCACAGTACAAAGGAAGACACGATACTCACATAGCTCTTTGTTCATTTTTAAGAAAAGCAGGCCAACATACCACAACCCAATTCTGGACATATCTGGGAAGGAGAAACTCATCATATCCTCATGTTACTCTGGTGAGAAATGAAAATTCATTTAAGCAACAGAGAAGCAAGTTAGGCTGCTGCAGATGTATTACTAATCAGAGCTGCTTCTAACCAAAAACAGATACAGTGTATGAAACTGGTGCAAGTATGTGACAGCCTTGGCTGGTGTGGGGAGCCATGAAAGTCTCATGGAGAATTGAGCATTTATGCAGAGGTCTGAGAGCTGCTTAGTGTGGGTGTGGGAGAGCAGGAGGTTAGAAAACAGGAGGTAGGAGACTGGAGTCCTGCCGTGGGAAACTACAGAATTTGTTTCAAGACGGGAAGGCCGGATGTCTCACTGAGCAAGTGAAAGAGAGGAACACTTCATGAGATGGCAGAACACAAGCCAACCAAGATCAGGGTTGTCCCCCAAGCAGACATTCTAGCAACAGCTGTAACAAAATGTATACTTTTGAAAGTTTATTCTGATGGCTGTTTGGGGAGGCTTTCTAGAGGACAAGGCTCAGCAGTTTTTTTCTCCAAAATTCCAGGTATTAAAATACTTCAAATGTGTGCTGTGTATTGTGTCATAATTACTCTACTGTCTATAGTATGAAAGTAGTCATAACCTGTAGAGTTTTTCAAATAAAACATCAGTTATGGATGCTGAGATTAGAATTCCCTGTGTTTTTTCATGTGTGAAATTATGTGAAATGTTCTTTTGATTTAAAAATGAAAAATATGAAAGCCATTCTTAACTCTTAGGCTGTACAAAGTCTGATGCAGATCATATTTGGCCTTTGGTCCATGACTTGCTAACTCATGTTGCAGAATATTTCATATTTTAACTTTTTCTCTCTACTTGAAATATTATAGTTCTACAGTGATACTTCTCTTAAACTGCATACATTTCCTTCAGTACTTTAGTAAAGGTGTGACTACTTCTAAATAAACAAATATAGGTTCTCCTTTCGCATTTCTTCACCTTAGTATTATTTTCCACTTAAAAATCAATACAAAGTGACTTACTCTTCTATTTTTTATCCATATACTTTAAAAGAAAATTATAATTTTGTATTTTTCATGTCTCCTTCCCACATATATTATATGTTGTTATCTTCTTTGAACCTGATACTTTTTTCTCTTTGCTTTACTTGGCAATAATTCTAAAGTTAATTCTGTTATTCTGAAGAAAAAAAGATATAGGTATCAAAAAAACCAAGTGAAATACACTCAGATCATTGCAGTTGCATGTAGTCATGTACTATGTGACTGAATAGAATACTTGGTTTACATAAAAATAAGCAACAGCCACACAATTTCAGAGCTACAGATGCTGCATTCTGACTTGAAAGGGAGTCTCTGGTTTCTTTCTCATCATTCATTTGGGCAGCTGTACCAGAAAGTGCTGGAGTCCTGTTTAGTGAAAATAGTACAGGCAAAGCTGGCTCAAGTTGCATCTGACCTTTCTATATAGGGCATTGGACATCTTAATTTCTTAGAGTCAGAGTTTTCCTAAAGTATTCATAATATGTGTTCTATGAATGAGATTTCCCTGTGTGTATCTTTTATCACATGGAAATAGCCCTGTTAAAGGATTGGTGGGGAGAACAGCTCATATTTTGTGGTGTTTGAGAGTACTAGTTGTGCTTTGAAACTTTTGCAGATATGAAATTTAAAAATAACTACCTGGTGATAGCCTCAGAATTGAATTAGTGTACATTTAAAAGATTGTATAGATGCTGAATGCCTTTTGTACTTTTAATTAATGTTTCCTCTGCCTTGTTTCTTTTACCTCTGAACTTAGGTTTAACAGTTCTCTGGAAGACCTACCTAAGAGTGGACTTCATCCGCCTGCCACTCCTCAAATGTTAAATATTGGTAGTCAGGTAGCCACACTTTCTAAAGTAGCAACAACTTCTTCTAGGTAGGGTTTTTCCTTCTTGGTATGTCTAAATTTCAGTGCTGGTAGTAAACCTAAAAACGAAAACTATTTGACTAAAAAACAAAACATGGTCATCAGTTACAGACCTGACATTAATATGTAGAATGCCTGGTTCTCCACTGCAGAGCACCACTCCTCACTGCTTTTGTATTTTATGGATGCTGAGACTTGGGTTTCTAACTTGTAATGTAGAATTAAGAAATTTATGGCTTTTGCTTATTCACTTTGTGATCTATAAGTCAGCTTACTGAGTTTCTCATAAATCTGATCTTCTGAATTAGACCTTTTATAACTCTTAAGGAGAGAAAAGGTCAAAATATGTTCTCAAGTACCTAAATATATTCTAAATACTTTCAGATAAATGATGCCACTTGTAAAAAATTGCTAGATTCTGCTGATGTAAGCCCTTTTGTATTACTATATTTTATATACAGTATGATGAAAGAAATTCATTAGTTTCCTTTTCTTACTAGGAAAGAATAATTTAGCTGATAATTTTATTTGATGTTTTTATACCTAAATTTATAGTTTTTATTATTTGCTACTGTTTCCTCCTAAATAGTAACCATTTCCTCAGACATGCAGAATTTTAAGAAACTCTAAAGTCAATCACTAGGTAATGTTATTCTTCACCTTAGTACTTGTTGCTCTGCTCTGCTATTGGTAACATCTTTATTTTCTCTCTCTAGCTCCTATTTTTCCTTTTCTAATCATTCACATAGTTGTTAAAACATAACAATATAGTTCAATTTACTGGATAGACATGCACAAAATTATAGAGTTACAATTCTTTACAGTTTTTTGAAAATGATTGACTACTATTTCTGCAATTTTCTGTCCAGTGGTTTGTGCAGCTATATTGTATAGAGCTAGATTTAATAATATGTCATATCCTTCTGACAGGGAGAGAGAACTTATACCCAATCTCAACAGGTTTGACATTTGGGCTCTCACTGTTGCTAAATTTGGCAAATAATTACTTTATGGGAGGTGGTCACTGCTATAAACATCTGAAAAAGTGGACATACCATAGTGATGATCCTCACTAGTAACTTAAACCCATAAATAAAGAAGAGAGACAAATTTCACACAATGTATTTGAGATTATTTTACTTAAAAGAATTGTTAATTGCAGTTTGATGACCAATTTTAAAAGTCTTGTAGTCATACTAGGTGTTTAACCTTTTCTAAAAGACCAAGGGAAAATTACTGTTATTTAATAACATCTCTGAAGGTGGCACTTAATTCCAGCATTTTGAAATCTTTGCAGAGCTATAAGAAAATAGAAATAAGGAACCCTGCAAAGAAGTTAATGTTTTGGTTGTGTTCACTGTAACTACTGTTTATTTTTGCAGAAGTGCCTGCCCTCTCCAAAGAGCTCTGCTCTTAATATTTTAAATAGTTATTTCTTGTTCACATTAATCCATATTGCTGTTTCTAAACAAGCACCCAGTTGTACCTCTTCCTCCTGGAAACACATGTCTCATTAAAAATGTCACATTATTAGTATATATCATCCCTATGGTAACATTCCTGACAGGAATTTTTTGGAAAAATCCACTTACCTTTCTGTTTTTTTTTTTTTTTTAACTTATCTGTGCTTATAAAAATCCAGCTTTATGTATAGACTTAGTTCCTACTTAACTGTTGGCAAATCAGTCTTCAAGTGCATGTTACATGATTTGCATTTAATTTGAAATAAAATTAGAGACCTTCAACAGTCTAGAATGTTTTTATGTAAAACTAAATTTTATGTAGAATCATACATCCAATTTTAACTTCTTAGAAAAGCCACAGTTGTAGTAAATAAATAATTTGAACTAGTACATCTTGGATATTGCATACCTTTAATAATATCTGTTAATGTAAAAAGACTGCTATCTTATATTTATTATGCTTTTTCTTTTGTATTTCTTTCCTTTTTTTTTTCTACTTATCAGTTTAAGCAGCTGATAAGAAATGTGAAAGGTTTTCAAAACTTTTCTATTTTCTCTCCTCCTGCTAGATACAGTGCTGCAGTTCTAAGCAGTGCGGCTGCTATAGTGTCTGCTGCCATTGCTGCAAAAACCAGGTGAACTAAGTGCATGTGTGGTGTCTGTCTGACGTGACCCCAGCACTCACCATCCTACTACCATTCAGAAGAACTGTTTGAAACAGTCACAGCTCCCCCGTGACTCCTTTAATGTACAATAGCTCGTTCTCTAAGCCATAGTGGATCCCACAGTGTGTGTTACTGTTGTTTTTAAAAAGATCATCCTCAGTTTTTCCATTGATAGCATTTGTGTACCTCTCACTGTGTGGATCCATGGCATGTAGTTACTGACTAGGAATGCTGTAATTTTCAGGTTTTGTATTTGAAACAGAATCAAGTACAAATTAAGATTCTATTGACATTGTCCTCTACTCACTGTCTTCCACTAAAAAGGGAAAATTTGTTTTGTAGGGTTATTTTATTATATAACTTATGTAGTCTATATGTTTTGAGTATTTTCTGAAAGATTGCCTTGCCTACCTTTGGTAAAAATCTATTATGTATTATTGAGTAGAATAACAGACTTACAGTCCTTCTCTTCATGCTCTTTCACTGTTTTACCCTCTCCTCCTCTACTCACTCAAAGGAAATATATCATGGACTTCATACTACTGTCTACCACTGGTAGTATGCATTTTTTCTTTTTAACTCAAAACTCTTTCTAAATACTTGCCAGGTTCTGCAGTCCTGAAACATCCCTCTCCCTTCTGGGTGCTCTGTGCATCCACCCTGTGCCCACACCTGTAGTTCTCTCCTATCTGCAGTCCTCCTGGAAATCAGCTGGCTCTGTCCCTGTTAAGAAAGCAAGGTACTGTGGGAATGGATACAGTAGGTGGTGGCTTGCTGTAAGGATACTACTTTCTCTAACACTCATTGCCATAGTAACAGGCCAATGAGTATTCCTAGAGCTGATTTTTAATCCAGTTTCTAGTTAACTATAACTTCAATGAAGTGCTCATGTACAGGCCTATTATTTTGTGTGTTTTTAAAACTATTAACTCACCTTTTAATTCCTTGTGACATTTTTAATTAGCACAGTTGATGTTTGTCATGAGTAGTTCCACCGGTGTTTAAATTATAGTGGAATTCTGCCTAATATTGCATGGACATATCTTAGTGAGATGTATCTTTTGAAACAAGTGAAAAAGCATAATTTGATTTTGATTGGCTACTGTCATATGAGAATTTTGCTTGAAAACTCAACTCAATTTTCACTTTTTTTTTTTTTTTTTTTTTGGTGCCAGGGATCGAACTCATGATCTTGTATTTGCCAAGCAGGAACTTATACCACTGAGCTAAACCCCCAACCAGTTTTCACTTTTTGAGAAATGTTTGTTAGTAAGCTTTCCATCATTGTGAAAGAATACTCAAACAGCTGATAAGGAAGAAAGGTTGAGTTTTTTGTTTCTTTTGTTTTGTGTTGTTGTCACTGTGTTTTTGTGAGACAGTCTTGCTATGTAGTTCAGGCTGGCCTTGAACTCACCATGTAGCGTGGGCTGGCCTCAAACTCAGTGATCCTCTTGCCTCTACCTCCCAAGTGCTGGGGGTACAGGCGTGCGACACCACACCTGGTGGGAAGGTGATTTTGTCACAGAGGTTTCAGTCCACGGTCAGATGGACCTGTGACGAGACAGAACATCATCGTGGGGAGTGTGCAGTGGAGCAGAGCTGCTCACATCACAGGTGACAGGGGAGCAGAGGGGAGGGCCTGGGGCCCAGTAGTCCTCCATGATTCACATACCTGACCTACTTTCTATACTGCTCGATAGATCCTACTGCCTCCCAGTCAGACCATAGGCTGGCACCAGGGCTGGCAGAGACCCTCAGGGGATTATCCCAATCCCCGTGAGGCTGACACAGCAGTGTCAACCTCACAGTTAGAATTTCTCCAACCTCGCGGTTAGGCCAGAACTGTTAGCCACAATGTGGGAAATAAAAACACCCCAAGCATTCATTGATGTATCATCTCAGTGTGTTAACTACATAAAATTACTTATTTTACTTTTTAAAACATTTCATATGAAATCATTTTTGACAGAATATAAAATCAGTGGCCAGAGTATATAACTAGGATTGTCACCAGGAATAGCTTGGTACAGCTGGGCTGGCTGTCACTGCTTGTGTTTTACCCAGTGTTTCAGAGGTTTTCAAGATGTTTGATTTTAACTTTAGGGTTATTTTTACAGGTGGTGTTTAAATGGGAGAGACATCATTAAAAAAACCGTTACCCATAATTATTTTACATTGCAGAATTGTGAGAGTTAAATAAGCGGAAATCTTGCCTTGGCAAGGCGAGGTTTATGCAGAGCTGGATTACAGGCCACACTTCAACACTTTAGGAACCTGGTGGAATGCTACGGGCCAGTGATGGTGAACCTTTGAGAACTTTCAATGATACCAACAACTCGCTGTGGCAGGGGGTGCCATAGGTTAGCCACCAATGCAGTAGATCTCTCCAGAAAAGTGCCTTATGCTCTTACATAGGTCTTCTGTCCAGATGGGTACCTATTCTCACACGTTCAGAACTGGGTATGCAATTAAGGTCTGGGAAGTTATTCATGGACCCATTTCTAAAGCAAGTGTTAGTAGTCATTGTCTTTAGTTTTTATTAATAGCGTTAGGATACAGACAAAACATACTGGATGTTGAGAGAGGAAAACAATTCTTGACAAAGTAGGCTAGTTGGCATTCTGGAAATCAGGAATGTAGGTTGCTAAGAAAACTCTTGTTAATTTAGAGGGTTTCCCAAAAGGGCAATGTATGACACAGTGTCAGAGATGTTTTATCTCCTTGCTTTGTGTGGCCACACCTTTCAAATTATAAGTGTAATATAATACCAAACCTTTTTCCATTATAGTATATTTAGGTCTGTGAGCCATAGTGCAAAAGCTGTCAGGAATTTTGCTTAGGAAAATAGAAAACTTTTATTATAAATGCAGATTCCTGGGAAGAAGGACACTTGTGAATCCCTGTATATCCAGATCCTTTTATAGAGTTCTCATGGAAGAGTTCTTTAAAATATAATGTTCCTTGGAGTTAGGGCCCATCCAGAAATACTCCTTGTCTGCCATTTCAGTGTCTAAATAATACTGTATAACATTGTTGGTAAGACTTTAGCTAGTGACTATTTAGCTTAGACACTGATTATTAAACCTGTGATATACAAATGCCTTTTTCCTTATTTAAACATGTAATTGCTTACTTTTCAAGCAGTTTTCCCTTTGATAATAAACTTAAAATTGACAACTGTTGCCAATCTGTAACTGAACTTTATTTTGTAGTAGGTAACACGGGAGAAGAATGTGAACCCAGAGTAACCAGTTGCTGACACAAATATTAACTCTTGATCCTTTTTCTTTTCCCCTCATTTGTTTAATTTTGAAAAGAATCATGTACTATACTAGTGCATTTTTCTCCATTTTTAGTTTCTAAAACATGAAACAAATTTGACTTGCTTTCATAGTAATTATTTCATTTTAGTCTTCATTTACTTGGCAGACTTGTGAAAATGACCATATTTGATTTTCAGCATCTGTGGTATTAGTAGAAGTTCTTTGTGAATTTGTATTGATTTCCTTATTAGAGTCCCTTAAAAAGAATTTTGTGTAGAAGTTTGGTATACCTTAAGAAACTTTGAGTTTTGAAAAATGTATTTAAATAATGGGCTCAGAAACACCATAACCATCAAAGTAGTCACCATGCTATCTTAACAAATTACATACTAAGTTTAGAGTGTTTTGCTGCTAGTAATTACAGATAATGTTTTATTTCCAAATATAAAATAGTACAACTAATGTCCTTATCAATAGTAGCCAGTAGTTAATCATTAGAAAAAAGAAAGTTAAGATTTTTAGAATCTTAGACATCATATATTTAGTTACATGAATATCTAGATTAATATTCACTCATTACTGCATTAAATATTTTACACAAATAAGGATCTTATTTCCTCAAGAAAATTGAACTGTTGATCAGTCCTGAATTTAAGCATAAAAATGGAACAACTTTCTTGCTTATAACTTAGTTTTATAATTTTTCATAATATGCTTCAAGCACTTTTTATCTAGGAAAGATTGAAACCTTTTGCTTTGCGGGGAACGAATGCATGCAAGCTCTTTGGTAGTTTAGACCTATAACAGTGATAGCGAGCCTATGGCACATGTGTCATGGAGATCTCCAAAAGGTCTGCATCACTGCTCCACAGTGACCCCCAGAGGCTCGTGTGTTCAGGGAAGGGCTTTGCATCCTGGAGGCACCATGCTCTTCAGTTCAGAGTTGAGGTGAGGTTAGGAAGTGGGGCCTGGTTAGAAGAGGAGGGTGCCTGGGCCCATCGGGAAGGAGATTTCTCCCTTCTGACTCTTCCCTTCACTCTCTGCTTTTTGGCTGCCATGAGCTGAGCAGCGTTTCCCCCACCAAGCCCCTCTGCCATCCTGTGTTGCCTAAGCTCATTGACCATGGACTAAATCAGTGAGGCTGAGATGTGGGTGTTGTTGGGTAGTTTATCCCAGTGATGCAGAAATAACTAAAACACCTGTGTTCAAAGGCTACATTCAAAATTAAATTTTTTGGCTTATTATACTTATTGCATGGAATCTAAGAAATACTATGTTACTTAAAACTGAGTTGACAAAGCAAGATTATATCTGGCATTAAGATCATAGGCTCAAACTACCACAGACCACATATAGCAGCAAAATTAAGTGTTTATTTAGTAAAAGCACCTTTCAACTCTGAACTAGATTCAGGACTTAGAAATAATAATACAATCCCTTTCCTTACTTTAAGGACTCTGTGCTGGAAGTTGTGCTGAATACTCTTTAGCATTTAATTTCATTCTTAAACTTATAATAAAAATGAGGAAATTTATCAATTTTAAGTAATGTACCCAAAGTCATAGTAAATTCCCAACGTTAGGTAGTTTACAATGTAGTAGAGGAGATAAGTTACATAAAGAAGTTTCTATTAATAATTTAGAGACAGTTATTACAAGTCAGTGTAAAATTATATTTAATTCTATTAATAAGTGCCACGAGTTAGAAGGAATGGCTCTACTTCTAAAAACTTGAGTAGTTAAATAGTATTTGTTACTTAGGATGGAACACAGTGCAACATGGATATTGTTATTTCTGTAGATCATGAATAGGACTTGAATAGGTACAGAGAGGGAAGGGAAAATATGTAGTATGTAAAGCTTGAAAGACATGCAGTTTTCAAGAGAAAATAGGAGCAGCCAGAATGGAGTTCCTGTGACATAGTGAGAGACAACATGATCAGGCAGGTAGATTATGACTTTTTTCAGAAGGCTTTGAGTACCAAGCTGAAGTGTATCTTAGCTCCCCAGCCTCTTAGTAATTCCATCCATTCTATAGCCTTTCCATCCTTTACCTAGAGTTAATTGAGTATCTTTGGGCGCTTTCATGTAAAGCATTATAAGGAACAGAGTTTTTCCTTTGTACAAGTTTTCCTATTAGGAAGCACCTCCTTTTCCTGCACCAAATCTGTAGATTCAGTGCATTGGTATTAGACACACAGCAGGCAGCCTCCCGAGTGAATCCATGTATCAGGTGTGTGAGGGTTGATCTCATGTGTCTCGAGTTTTTTCGTACCATGGTCCAGTCCTACCATAACCAGACTTTACTGGGCATGGCATTGAATTCCTGTCATCCTGCTTGCTCTCCTTCTAAGTTTATGTCTGGCAACTCTTCTGATTAAGGTTTAATTCCTTTACATTACTAGCAATGAGATGATGATAGTTTTTCTTCATTTTTGTTTCACTTATACCTTGTAATATGGCTTGATTGTAGTTTTCTTCTTACAACTGTGACTATCTAGATTATTAGTTATTTTTAACAGATCATCATAAGGAATTTCATTTTAGAACAAGAATGACTTGTACATAAGTATTTCAGAATTACTTTTTTGTAATGAGCAAAAATATAGGAAAGAAGTCTATTTGAATAAATCAGTTATCCTTTTCATATATTTATATTCTGTGCCTTAGAGTAGGCTAAGTACTTTATACATAATCATCCTATTTAAACTTCATGGAAGTATTACCAACAAACTATTATCCCCATGTAAAATTTAGGTAACCAAGACTTGGAAAAGGAAAATAATTTTGTTAACAGCACTCTTAAAAGGTGCTCGTTTAACAACTATGCAATAACGTTTGAATTGTTTCCATTAATGCTTTTTGTGATAGTTGTTTTCAACATTCCCATTAAGCAAGCAATTTTATACTTTTTATGATTAAAAATTTTTAAAGTATTACACATTTCATTGTATTTTTCAACATCAAACAGGGTTTTGTTTCTCAATAAACTGAACAGAAATAATGAGATGATGACTCTGTTTCACTTGAAAGGACAAGCATAAGAAGCAGTGTTTTATGAAAGTTAAAGCTTTTATAGTTCATTTCTCAAAATTGTTTAGTGTTGAAGTGCCCCAAGACTACCCTCAAGTTTTGTGTTTCCCTAGACTAACCTAAAGGAGTCAGCAAATAATTGCACTCTTGACTAAGATTTACCACAGTGAAAGAATGCAAAGCAGGATTCACAAAGTAAAAAGTTGCGTGGGACCATGCCTAGAAAAAATGAGGCTCAAACTTCGCTCAGGAGTCAGATGGACATGCTAAATCCCTCCAGCAAAGAATTGTGGCAAAGTGCTTTATACCAGAGAAGCTCATTGGAGGCCAAGGACCCAAGTTTGGGGCGGGAGACTTGTTACACGGGCACTCTCTGCCAATTTGTACCTAAATTTCAGACTCTCACAAAGAAAAGTAGTATTCAGTATAAACTATGCTGTCTACAAACAGTTTAGGCACCCCTGAGTCACTCTTATCACATAGAGAACATTTTATATTGCTGCAGGGAACCATTTATCAACTAAATTCCTACATGCCATTCAAGGGTCAATTTCCAAACTGACCTTTGTAAGAAGAGAGAGTCACACACCTACTGTGTTAGTTGTCACCTGAGATTCAAGAGGCACTACGGAAATTATTAGTACTATTGAAAAAATAATTTCTTTATTGTAGCTTTCCAAAGCGTGTGTTAAATCATTTGTGCCACCTCAGATTATTACTTTCTGTTGTTTATACAAATATAAGTAACAAGTGACTTGGTAATGTAGGCCATATGATTTCTAAACCAAACTAGGACAGATAAGACCTCCTGTTAGGCAGGTGACTAGTTGAAAGATTGTGGTAGTGTAGTCCCTACACATTCTGTTAAGTAGAGATATTGTCTTATCTTTATCACCATATGGTGCAGTATCTGGCCTGTAGTCAGTGTTTACATATTACTGAGTGAGTGTGCATGTGAATATAATATTTGATGGGCTGTCAGAGAAACTTAATTCATTTCAGAGATTATCAGGGATTCCCTAATAATTTATTGTTTTAATCCACTTGGCTCTTCTGAAATGTTGAAATTAGTTTATTACTTAAAGTGATGGCTTACATAAGCTTTCAGCATCTTTCATAAGCTTTCTCATCTTTCAAAGAGAATTCCCAAACTGTAGAACAAGTGCTGCCTCTTTTTATTTCCCTTATTTTTTCCTGTTTTAATTTTATTTATTTCCTTTGCAGTAATATTCAGGAGCCTTCCCAACAGTTGGCTTCATCTGCAGCTTTAAGTCGGAGTGGGCTGGGGAGCGTAGAGAGCACCAGCTCCAGCAAACCGGGGGTGACCAGCCTCACTGCAGCTGCCACCTTCAAGCCTGTGGGCGCCACCAGTGCAATCAAGTCTCCCAGCTGGCAGCGGCCAAACCAAGCAGGTACTGCAGAGAAATCGCTTAGTCCTTGCTTTTTTTCACAGAACTGGGTTTTTCACAGAACTTTTTCACAGAACTGGGTTATGGCATATGTGGTAGAAACTCATTCTCCACTGTTTATGGTTTTAAAAGACCATAAAAAATAACTACATCCTTTTTGCTGTTTGAAATCATAAACGTTCTCCTTTTGATACTATTGCTGTTTGATACTCATAATTACACAGTTGCCACAAGAAGCATGATTTGAATTGTAAATTTGGAGTCTTATTTCATAACAAACTATATACTTAGAAGATTATTCCTGGAAATATGACATTTTTATCTTGATGATAAGTACAAAATAATTTATTGCCATCAAACAACTATTGAACAATCTTTTACTTTCTGTTTGCTGAAGAATTGCAAAGCAGAAAGAGAAGTGGTATTAGAAAGAGAATATTTGATGGGATGGAACACCTCTGGTTCAATTAAACCTGAATTCTCATTCACTTCTACAGATAAGAGCTTTCAGTAAAGTCACTTAATCTCTTTGACCCTCAGTTTTCTGATCCACGAAGTGGACTCTAACTCATTTTCAGTTTTACCCAACATGAATAAAGTTTATAACAATGCCGAGTTTCTCTGTTAAGAGAGAGATGAGGATAAACTTCAATGATAACAGTTCTAAACTTACCTTCATTTATTCTCACACTTTAAATGCTGTCTTGACGATTCTCATCCAAGTTCATTTTGCTCCGTAACCACTGAGAATTTGTAGTCCTCGCTCTGCTGAGCTCCATATCCTCAAACCCATTGAACTTGCTGTCTACTGGAGCACCTCAAATACAGTATGTTTGAAAATACCATTTCCTATCTCGGAATGCTGCGAAAGCACATGTAGACTTTAAACCTCATTCCGCATGTTCTAGCAATAGCTAATACCACATTCTCAAATTTCTATCATTGGAGCCATTGTCTGAGTTCAATTCCCTATTGTAGTATTCTCTATACAGTTTTTCATGGTGGCGTGTTACATGTTGCTCATTTTACAAAGAAGCCAAAAGTGACTCTTTGGCATCCAAGTTATCCCTCAGTAGTCACATAAAATTGCTGCCAAGACTCCCTGAAGAGATTGAAATCTGCAAATCTCAAGTCCTTTATTTAAAAACATTTAGTATTTGCATATAACTCACACATAGCTCCCTACATATTTTAAATCATCTCTGGTTTACTTATTATACCTGATACAGTGTAAATGCTATGTAAATAGTCGTTACACTTGTATTGTTTAGGGAAAGGTGATAAGAAAAAAGTCCACACATGTTCACTACAGACAGTTTTGTTTTCCCTGATATTTTCAATTTGCTGTTAGTTGCTTCCCTGGTTTGAAAACTGCAGATATAAAGGCCTGGCTGTGTTTGTGTTGTAGGAAAAAGATGATAGCCTATTGCATATCATCTGGACTGTTCTAAAGGAAAGACTGTTTCATTACATTTAAAAGTTTAAAATGTTCAGACTAATGTCATTAACTTCTGAAATTCCTAGACTACTGACTTCTTTCTCTTGAGGGAAATTGCTAGCAATACTCAGCCATGCTGAGTTATTTCCATCTACCAAAGCCTTCGTGCATCCATTTAGTACAGAAAGTAACCTTCAGAAAAATTCCTTTAATGTGGTATTTGGAAGCTAACAATGTTTTGTAAAATAGCAAGGAAAAGACTACATTTCTGAGGTTTAAATGTAAAAAAAGGCAAAAGCTGTATGTGTAGCAGAAGACAAAAGTGTGTGTACTTCTTCAGGAAATTCAGAAGTTTATGACCAAGGAAACCTCTCTGCTCGTTAAATAGAAGAGAGAATTCCAGTTGGTTCTACATTCCTGGAGAATGCAGTCCAACAAAATTACCAGAAGAGGGCGATGGAACCCTTTATTCTGGGAGTCTCTCTCTGAGTCATTGAAATAAGATAAATTGCAACAACTATAATAATCATGATTTACATAGTTATATTTAAAACATGTTTTTTTCCAGAATGTTTGTCAATTTAATAGCAAAAGTGTAACAGTTTAAAACAGTATATGTAACATTATAAAACCATATTTTAAAAAGAAAATTTGTTTCTTATATGAAGTCATAGTACATTGTACTCTTTAACTGAAGTCACAAAATATTTCCTGAGCTCCTGCTGTTTTTGTTCTAGATGCTGGAAATAGGCAGTTGCAAAGTTTTATTATGAAATTTACGTTTTTGTAAAATTTAAAAATAAACACAAAATTTCCAGTACCTCAAATTCTTTTCTTCCTTGCCCAAGATACATTATCTTTTTAAAAACTTAGTTTTTAGGCATTTTACAGGCGCTCCTGCAAACATAAAGATTCTTCTGTTTTGGGTGATGGCTGTCTTGTGGTCTTTGGTATAACAGTCCCCTTGTGAAAATGACAGTGCCAGTACTTGCGGAAAAGCCAAAAAGCTGAGTTACCAGACTAGAGTGGGCTCAGGAAAAGCATTGTGCATGGGTTGTGTACAGTTTGCACACTGCACAATTCAGGTGACAGCATTCATAGAAACTAAGATGCAGACAGTGGGTAGTGTTGCCTTCTACCTTGGTCCTCCTGCCTCAGCCTGCTAGAGTGCTGATATTATAGGCACGTGACATTACTTCTGTCATGTTGAGAGCTTCTAGCTTTTTCTTGAATATGTAGTGTCATTGGGAAAAGAGGAAGAAATTAATTTTGACTTCTCTCACTGACACACCACCAGAGCATTGTGATGACAGTAAATTACTTTAAGATATTTTCCTTAACTGAGTGGAGAAGGGAGCAGAATCACTAAGTTGCAGTCAAGGACCCACTTAGTTGATGCTGAAGTCATTTGATTGGAGTGTAGCTAGCATTTAATTTTTATTTTTAGTTAGATGTAATATGTATCATTAGTGACACATTGGGCTAATTCAGTACATGTGTACAATATAATGATTCAATCAGAACAATAAGTACTTCCATCTCTTCAAAGACAACTTATCATTTGTTGAGAATTTTGTACTCTTGTATAGCCAAATTTTTAAAAGAATGAAATGGAATGGAATAGGAAAATATAACATTTTAATGAATAATTTTTAATATATGAATAGGCATCATTTTATGAAAAAAATGAGCTTTGGTAGACATATACACAGACACGTGGATATGTCTAGGGTAAAAAAATAAAGTTACTTCTTACTGTTATACAATTTAAAAATAGTGTTTTAAAAAAATTTCAGTTTACCATACTTCTGTTTATCAAGTGGTAACTAAAGCATTTTTGAAATAATGGGTAGGGAGAAGATGGCATTGAAAGAGTTGTTTAAAATTTTAAGACATACCCAGTGTATTCCTAGCCCGTCAAGGGTTTCTATTACATCTACTGAAGTTCTGACTTTAAATCTCAGATCATTTCACTTGTGGTGTCATATAGCCTATATTACCAGACATCTTCAAGAATGCAGGAATGCTATGCCAGCTGATAAATAGGAACTAAGTGTATACATAGCAGCATTATAGCCGAGGTCGTATTATCATCATTTTCTCAGGCATATAGTTTAACATATGCAACACATACAAGCTTGCAGCAACTCAAAAAAGTTAAATATTTTAGGATGCAAGATAATCAAAAGTTCATCATCTGAGTGAAACAAAAGATACAAAAAAAGTAAAAGTCCAAACTTTAGTTTTATGTAAGCTAGCAGTACTACTGTCCACTTGCCCTGCATCCTTAGTAACACTGTTTCTGTGAATAAGATACAACATTTGCTTTAGAAACTTTGACTTAAATCTAGAAAAATATATATGTTGAGATTTTTGTTAATTTTTAGACCTAAGGATTTATACTTCTTTTAACTTGTATTTCAATTTACTGTACTTGTTTTTATTAAAGTTTTATGCTTGCAGCTTTCATATTATTATATAATTAAATGGTTTGATAAGTATTTTGAAGCCTTTGTTTATTGGCAACAGTTGAAAAATATATCTCCATGTTTATTAAGTGATCTGTGTTTCCCACATTTTTTATAAGTTATGGATAGCTGATTAGGTAAATGTAGCTCATTAGAGGAAAATATATATATAAAATATTACTTCCCTACAAGATACAGTCAGGTATTTTTCACAATGGCAAACCCAGTCAGGTATTTTTCATAAACCCAGTCATAACATCACAAAGAGCCACTATATGTTGACATTTTTAACTGTCTGGTTTTAGCTCAGTCATACACAAAATGAAAATGATTCAGCTGCTAGAGAGTAAGTAGTGCATTGCTAGATCTTCCATTGTTTGACTGATATGACCCTGAAGATTAAAAGTATGTGCTCTGTATGGTATGAGTTTTAGAAGACTAGCATTTTTGAGCCTGCAGTTTTCTTATCTACATAAGGATCTAAAAAGAATCCACACTAGCATCATTGTGAAGACCAAGTGATATAACGTATCAAAGTGCCTGGTGGTTAGTGCATACTCCAGAAATGTTAAATTTCTGATGTGAGGGCAATGTGACTGCAATGTCTGTCACACTCATTGATGACCAAGGTTGATTTGGCTGGTCTGGCTGGCTGGCAGGTGTCCTTTTCCTCCCTTACTGTTCTGTGTGCAACCTTCCCAAACTTGCTCCAAGAATGGCCACCTTGGGTAGACAGGTGTCAGGGGTATACAAGTAACTGTGCCCCTTGCTAGAACTTGAAAACACACTCTTAAGTAAACTTAAGGTTTCTACCTTTCCTGATAGCATTGATAACACATACTGTTGCCATCTTGTCATATAAATCTTTGGTGATAGTTTTATCACAGCATTTATTATGTTCATTTTAATTATTTATATATGTGTCCTTTAATGTTGTAAATGTCAGTGAGTACCTGAGAGGTAGCTAGGTCGGTTTCTTTTATTTTGGAAACTTCCTGGAATTATGGGGGCACAGTACTCATTTGCCAAGATACTGTTCCGTCCTCCTTGAAATTCCCTTAAAAGCCAGTGGAAGCACTATCTGCAAAAGAAGCTAT